TCAGTAAAAAATAGATACTTGATCAGTAAAAAATGCAGATTTGATCAGTAAAAAATAGATACTTGATCAGTAAAAAATAGATGCTTGATCAGTGAAAAATGCATATTTGATCAGTAAAAAAATTAGTTTTGCCTGTATAAATTATAATTTAGTATAAGAAAAATAACATTGAATAAATAAAAAAAACAGATAGTATAAGTAAGAAAGAATCCAAAAGAAACATGTGCTAGAGTTTAGAGAATGAATGAAAAAAAAGAAACAAAATTGACTTATTGTACCAGCAAAGCAGGTTTAGCCTTTGCTGGTCTACCTCTTTTTCTTTTCTCACCAATTGGTACTGTCTTTGCTGCTGCTGGCGGTTTACAATATTTCAAACGAATTGCCATACCGACAGTGTGTTTGCATATATAGTTCTTTAAAAAAGCTGGGCAGTTGCATTTTGATGTTTTCCAATCTGAACCATTTTCCATTTCCATACACCAAATATCAAATGACTTTTTGAATTGATTAAAAGTTGTCCATTTTTTATTTTCATATTTATCTAAGGTGGCTTGTGTAATGGATTGTAAATCACGAGCTGGTATATAATATTTTTTTGAGGAAACATTTGGAATACATACTATGTCTTTTATTAATTTGGCCCATTGATATGATGAAGTCCATAATTTTAAAGATATTGTTGGTTCTGTAGCAAATAATTTCACATTAATTGAGGAACTATCTCGTTCAATTGACCAGTTATTAACAATATTTGAAGCTATTGTTAAAAATCTTGATAAAACGAGACGTTCTCTAAACGTTCCATCGTCTTTAATTGTTTTATTGATTGCCTCTAAGGCATTGTTTGTACTTGGTGTATAAAGTTGTAAACCTTCGTACCAACCATCATTTGATTTAAGCCATTCGTTATCGAAATAATTCAAAAACTCTAAGATTGATTGGTTTGTTTGTTTGTTGTTCATTTTCCATTTCTTGATAAATAATGCTGATGCTAATTTAAATATAACTGTAGAATTACACAATTGAAGCATTTCAATATCTTCCATAATTTCTTTTGCAATATCTTTATCATTTATATGACATATACGATTTTCAACATTCCTTTTCATATGTGCCCAGCACATTATTTGATTATAAGAATTGCCAAAAACATTTTTAAAACCATTTTTAATCGAATCAGCAGCATCACATATCAATGCAGTTGGTTTTAATAAATCTTTATTTATT